TTTATTTAGAACATACCTGAAGCATGAACAGATGAAAACTCCATATTTAAGCAATTACATGCAAGTCAGAAATGCCAATTTCCATCACAATTAGCCTAAGTTATGCAACATATTTTTGTTCCCTTTTAGTATATAACTGATGTATGTTTTTATAATTTGCTTAACTGCCTATCATGAAATTCTGAAATCACATAGGCCACATAAAACCATAAAAGAAAGGGCACCTTTTTATTTTTCCCAATGTACCATGTTTCTACATTGCTTATAGAGCTTGTACAAGAAACACTGTTAGTTTCTATATAAAGATTTCCATAAAATTTTTATAGTTTCTGTAAATGCATAAAGATTGCTGGTTTCATTATAACCTCTGTTTCAGTGCAAGTGGAAAGAAAAATTACCTGCAACTCTAAACGGCTATCTCCACACACAGAGGCGAAAAGTGTGCTCAGGCCTCTCTTTAAAGATCCTAAGACACTCACTGCATTTCATCAAAATTCAGATGATCACACTGGAGGAGCAACTTCTACAGCACTCAGCTCTCATCAGCACAGGCAGAGCAAACAGGCTATGAGAAACACAACTGTCAGAACAAATTACGAATCCTGCATGTTTTCATGTAAGAAATAAGCATATTATAACTAATAAGTTTTAAAACAGTATGAGTAATACCTACTTGACTATTACAAAGCCATTTATAGAAATATCCTCTCTGAGAGATTGTTATATTTCCATTCCAAACTATCCCATACTACACATTATAATTAATAAATGCTCATGTTTTTTAATCTGAAAAATCATGTTTTCATGGGATTTTGATGAGTGGTGATCATAATTTGGTAACATGTTCATTTAATTCTCCTTTCTTCCTAATTCACTTAGCATTTATTAAAACTACAGTAATCACAGTAAGTAAAGTTTTACCAATTATTTCTATAATTATGGATAAACATAGTAAACATAACAGAATTATAAATCCACTTAATTAACTACGAGGCTATTTCCAGCAGAAAAAAAGGTATTCATGTTTTTTCTCATTTTTAATATATCGTTGACATATTATTATCTTTGAGAAATCATTTCTAGAAATGAAAGAAATAGATGGTTTTGCTTCTTGTCCATCTTTAACAAAAATTTTCCTTTGGACAGGTTTTATTAAGACCTACAGTATCTAAAGTTACAGTTAGAGAGTAAAAAGTACTAACTCTAAACTAATGAAACCAAAGTGAGTCAAAAATTATATCTGAATTAACCCTAAGAACAAAATTTTAGACTCTTCCACATATTTATGAGAGACACAAGTTAAGAAAAATCTCATGTGAGCTGTCAGATTTTTAAAAAACCAAGGATTCTTTTCAAGTCAGGATCCTACCATTGTAGATATTTTATTATTTAAACTAGCTAAGCATTAAACAAAAGCAGACAAATAAGTAATATGAACTCTGAAAAGGCCATGTTTTTGCTTTTTGTTGTTGTTTGTTTTTCTCTTTTAAAAAATACAGGCGCTGCAGGCCTTTTCAGGAATTAACAAAGCCTCTATTTTCAGGTTTAAAGATAGCAGGCTCACCAGACTTTAAATGAAATATTGAGTGCTGCACTGATTTAATGGTTTTAAGCCAAAGATGTCATTGTGGTCCGAGGGTGTCACAGACAACTTAAGGAGGGGGAAAAAATGGGGCAGAGAGAAATCACTTTGTCAGTAATTACAATCTAGAGCCCTAAACGTGGCTCCGGCTGCTCATTACTTCTTCCTTCTGTATCAAGACCCTTATTTACATTTCAGATTACATTTTTTATGAAACAGTAAGATCTATCAGAGCTGAGAGGACTGAAATAATGAGGGGAAAACATTTTAATAACACGCGTTGGGTCTGCATTACTTCCGTGGTAGAAAGAAAGGCTTCTGTGGGGAGAGATCATTTATTCTGCTTCTAAACGAGAAGCAAAAAGATGAAACTGATGAACTTTTACTGCCCATTTGTCTTTAGCAGACAATTAAGACAGAGAAGATCAAAATGGATTATCATAGCACGCAGACAACTGGCCCAACAGTAACACATCTCCAGGACCACAGATTTGTAACTCTCTTTTATCCCTCCCCTTTCTTCTTACTTCTTTTTCCACTCTAAAGGCAGTGCTAGCTTTGTGGCTCAAGGAGAGCCAAAAGGCTGGTCATCATTATTCAGTCACAGATGTCAATCTAACCTCCCTTTTTTCTCAGTTTCTAAAGCAGTGAGCCACAATAATTTGTGACAGATTCTTTTACTGTAAGGTACAAAGAACACACAGAATAAAACATCTAGCAGCAGCAAGTGTCTCTGATCAAGTGTGCTGGTACATGGGAAATACACTATATGTAAAAACAAGCGCTGATAGTTTAGGCGAATGAGGAGAAAAACCAGGGAGGGGGAGTAAGGGAGAGAGAGAGAGAGAGAGACTGTGTGTGTGTGCGTGTGTGTGTGTGTTGTAATAAGTGCTATCTGTGTGGTGAATTATCTCAAATATCCCTTATGGATTTTATCATAAATGTTTTAATACTAGAGATGTTGTCTAGATTAAGTGAATATTCAGCATTTAATATTCAACTGTAATAGAAATATTTCTCAGGGTTCCTTTAGAATAGAATATTGTGGGGAAAGATAATTTAGTTTGATCAAACAAATGTTAAGAAAAAAATTTAAGAGATTACAACCTAAATGATAAAATATTAAATAAGAAATAATGCAGTTCTTCTTCCTTTTACCACTAGATATAACTCTCAGACAAATTTCTGGGAATCTGGAGGTAACATCTCAAAAAACAAAGTAGATCCTTCATTCATGCTTTGAGTTACATGAGGCGAATCAGAGAAATCATGTGTGTCAAGCTGGAGAACACACTAAGGCAGGCAGTAAGTACACACTCTACCAAGCCTACCAGATGGAGCATGAATATCATTCTCTAATTTCTACAACTGTGCTACTGATCTAAAGCAAGTCAACAAATACCACTACCCAATGAACACCTTTAAAATTACTAGAGCTATCATTATTTTGTAGATCCCAATTATAATTTTAATTGTTTCAACCTCAATGTATGAAACACTTAAGACTATCCATTAATCAAAGGAAAGAGAACTCATAGCATAAAAATATCCAAAGAGTAAATATGCATATGCAATGGTCTATATTTCTGTGTACACTTACACACATGTATAGTACATGTATGTATACCCACAAACATATACATACTGTCTTCATTCACACATATACACACTCAAAGGGAAAAAAATGGAAAGATAAACATCAAATTGTTGTCATGGTTATCTCTGAGAGGTAAAATAACAGATGATTTATATTTTCTTTCTTTTTAAAATTTATTTCTGTTTTATCTATATTTCCTACATTTGTGTCATAAACATATCACCCATGCGATTTTTAAGTTATACTATAAAAAAAAATCACGTTGCTCAAAAAGGTTTCAGATATAGCAAGAAACTATGTTTAAGGAATAGACCCAGATGGTGACTATGCTATTTTAAGTTTTCTCCTACAAAATTTTCTCTATGTAATTCAGATGATGGGACCACAGAGGTTATTTACCTAGATGCAAGATTTTAGACAATAATTTTCTTAAATGCTGTGGCCTCAAGTATATTCTAAACAATATTTAAAAGATTTTACATCCTTTATATACTGTTTAAAGAAAAGAAATACATTAAGGAAAAGATCCTATAACCTTTGAATTTGGGTAACTTAAAACCAAAGGGCTCAATCTCATAACAATTTGAGACAAAATAAAAATTTAACTCTCCTGGTAGAAGATAAGGCAAGGGGTAGAGTGGATGACTTCAATATTTTTTTAAATCTTATTTAAAAGTCTTGAAATCAGACACAAAAACAAGCCCTATCAGTTCTTTTGGGTTCTTGTACTATAAAACCTCATTACAAAGCATCTCATTACACTGATTATCAAGTTATATTCCTGGTCACATCATGTCCACTGCATTCATTAAAGACATATCAGATACCTTGCTCTCTACCTATCAGGCCATACTGCCAAACTGTTACTACTTCTGTACTAGGTATTTCTATTCTGTTGTACTTATCTCATTCAAGGATTTTTAATAGAAAACATTAGATGGATATACTTCAGAAATATGCTTTTTGTGTGTAATATTCCACATGTGAAAGGTTTTTAAGGGATGCTTTATTCAGTGTAATCAGGGATGTTTTTATTTCAAAAATGATTTTAAAAAGTATACCAAACTGCACATTTGAACTAAAATGTAAGGTGCCAATAGACTATAATATATCTCTAATATTTCTCAAGATATAACCTGGAATCCCAAATGAATACCCTGCAGCTAATTTTAAGCCATCGAGCAAAATCAGAACTTAAGCACTATTTTATGAGTAAAATGATTCCTACCATCCCATTCTATCCTTGCAGAATGCTGGAAATTTGAGACTGCAGAACCAAGTGGTCACCCTTAACTTTCATGACCATCATCTGAACAATTCTCACCCTCAAGACCAATCCTACATGTGCAGCTTCTCCTTCCAGTACTACAATAACATGTAGTTTCACTCTATATTTCAAATTCCAGGAAATGTTATGAACTGCCCTCCTCTACCATTTTTGTTACATTGCTTCTTGACTACTTAAATAGCATTTAAAAAAAAAAAAAAAAAGAAGAAGGAAAGAAAGAAAAAGTTCACAAGCAATCCAAAAGGACTTCCTAATGAACTGCAGGCTGTAACATTCCTCAAAGGAAAATTTGTGATAAATTTTCTTCCTTAGTTTCTGTGTGTTTCCTTCGCTGAAGGTAACACCCCAAATCTGGCACTAATATTTTCAATCTGACTTCACTATGTTTTAGTTTTTGTCTTCAGTTCCTAATTACTGCCTCTCTTCCCTTCTAAAAATTCATTTATCTATTTCAGTAAAAAGAACAGTAATAATATGTTGAACAACTCTGAAATAAATTTTGTCATGTAAAAAATTAATTACGCATTCCGAACCTGGTCACTGTAGTCCTCCGGGAATTGCCGCTGCACCTCAGGATCTGTAAATAATTGACAGATAATATTAATTGGCTTTGGATTAGTGAGCAAGCAGAGGATCACACATTAATATTTGATCAGAAGATGATAGCAGCCCTGGCAGGGGATCCAAGGGGGGCAGCTGAGGCTGCTATGTTGATGAGCACAAGGAAGGGCTCGGCAAGGCACTCCCATTACCCTCCTCCAGAAATATAAAAAAGAAAAAATTTTAAGACCTGATGCTACTGTTAACTTTAGACTATTACCTAATGCAAAAATCTTGCCTGCTGCAAATTGCCCTCGATATATTTTTCCAGAGAAAATGAGTCTTAAACCTGCTCGACTTTTCTTCTCTAAGCAGAAGTCCCCTTTTCATACTTGACAGATGTGAGCTTGATAAACCACCTTCTGCATCAGTCCCAGACTGGGGTGGGGGGTGGGGGAGAGAATTCTTTTAAGAGGAAAATGTGAAACTCACTGCTTGTAAAAATAAGATATATCCTTCCTGAAACACTTATCAACTCTTAGGAAAATACAGATAAAACCAAAAGAAGTTTTCTTCAAAACAGAACCAAGACTTTCGGCTTATAGTGTAAACAAAATATCACAACATAAGAAATTATGTTCTGTTTTACATGATTAGACTTGTTCACAACTATAAAGATATATATATAGGTGAAGGTACCTCATGATAATATATTTAAAATGGAATTACTACAGGGTCATTTGATTCTTAAAACATAACTGCAAGATAATCCAATGCCATCTCCTGTAAGTCAATACAGAAGTGTACTAATTAAAAGCTATTAGCACTCCATTTATTATTGATTAGGAAAACATTCAATCTTTTCTAATAAGAAAAAGATTTGGTTCTTCAGAGACACATTAAAGAGAGTGATCAGAAAAATATCTATTTGAAAAAATCATGTAACAACGCAAAAGGCTCATGGGGGAAAAGCACACTATTTGACAGTCTCCCAGAGATCCCAATATGCACTGCTCACATTTCATATCGATCTTTAAAACCACAATTTCCTTCGCTGTGAAAGTGAATCCATGTAAAAGTTGAAATCCTCTAAATCACAATACAGTTAATTGGTCTTCTGTGAAGAATTAGAAGGGAAAAAAACTAAGGATCTGTTTACATGGCGCATTTAAATCCCAAAATACTAGTGTCCAAGTCATTAAAACCAATGAATGTTTTGTTTTTTGTTCTTATTTTTAAATCCAAGACTAACAACAAAAGCAAGAATAATCAGAGGGCCACACCAAAAGCAGTTTTCCACCAGGGCTGATGCAAACAAGCTGAAACTCTCTGCAGAGCATTTCGGGTCTGGTTAGCTTGAAAACTGGAGACTGACTTCTCTATTTTGCCTCGTCTTCACTACCAAGAGGCACCAATGCCATGTCCAGAGGTGACCAGCAGATTCTGGAATAATGTTCCCTGTAGTGCCATTCAGGGTTGCTCTCACAGGTCAGAAGAAGCTGTTGAAATCACACAAGGACTTAGCCCTGGTAAGACAGGAAGCCAGAGGGCGCTAACAGTGTGGCAGGAAAAGTACTGGGCCTACAAAGAATTAACCAGCAGGATGTCAAGTGACAGCCTGTTGCCCAACAAGCCTCTCAAAGTGTTCAAAGGCCAGGGGAGGGGAACAGAAAGGAGCACCTGGGAAAAGAGGGTGGTGGTTGTAATTCCTAAAACATATATGTAAGTAACTTAAAATTTGGCCACAGACAGGAAAAAATGCAGCTCTAAGCCACCCAGGAACATAATAAAACAGAGGTTGAGAGAGCCACAAAATCATCTAAGGCTTATTATTTCTCTTCCAATTGTCATGTGGTTAACACTTAACTCTTCAAAACTTCATAAAGAAATGACCTCCATATAAATCTTTAATATGATGTCTTCTTTATTCCAGTAGTTTGTGCTTTGGGGGAAATCACAAAATGCCAATGGAAATAAAACCAAAGACTTCATTTTTCTGTCACCATTTTGTGAGGGAATAATCAGACACCAAAATTTGTAGTGTATTCTTCAATTAAAAACAGAAGTTTCTTGTTCACAGGTGGAAGAAGGTTCTTAAATTTCCTTTAACTATATTCATAAGAAGCCATATCAAGAAACGCATCATTTCTAAACTGTATTCATATATACAATATAGAATTGAAAAAAAAGAAGGAAAAATAGGGAGTAAAACCAACTATTTTAATTCTCTGCAGATAAAAGGCGACCACAGAATACCAACATGGAAGCCATTCAACAAATCACATCCCTCCTAAACAAGCCCCAGTGGCAGGCAACATAAATGCCATCAATTAATGCCTTCAACTGTCCTAGGACTATCCCCCAAATTAGATCCTCTGATTTTAACAGAGTAATGTTCCAAATCAATACGCGCATTATCATTTACCATTGATTCAAGCTGAAAACTCTTGATTTCTTTTTTAAAGCCCCTTGAGGCTTACAAAAAGCAAACTCCATGAGTCCTTAATGTTCTCTAAAGCAGCACTTGGTGAGGAAAAGAGGGAGAAAGTAAAAAAAAAAAAAAAAAAAAAGCAATGCTTTTAAAAACAAAATCCAATCTAGAAATTTCCATTCAATTGGCTCAAACAACAGTCTGATAGTGAATAAAACTATGAAAGCCATTTTGTAGAAATTAAAATAAAAACTGCAAATAATATGTTAGGATTTTCTTAAAACACCTACTATCTTGCACAGGGGGTTGAAATTTTTTCTTTCTTTTTTTTTACATCTAGTTGATCATAATACCATAATGTCACCAAAATATCGACATTGGAAACATCTGAGTTAAAAAGGTCCAAATACAATCTGCTTTTCTCCAGCAACACAACACCCGCCTTACTAACAGCTTCAGCATGGCACACGTACAAAACTTAGCACCCTGCAGTTAAGCAAACCGCCTTTAAATTTTCTGTCTGGCAGCAATCCACTTGCGTGTCTGTATGTTTTTTACAAGTACTCTATGTATTTCATTGCGTCAGCTGCATTTCTTTGAGTTTTAAATGGTCTGGGAACATTTTATGAAATGTTCTATATCTTTATATGGAAAATAACATACACTGGAAAACTGCATTGGTCTAATATTTATATATCTATTTCTTTATCCACCATCCAATGCTATAATTGCTAATGTTCCAGAACACCTTCTCACATTCATACGCTCACCGCCAAATGCAGTGTCACCAAAGAGCTAACTTTCAACACACAAATCTGCAGATGAGAGTACTACCATGGAACAAAGTAACAATAATTTGCTTATGCAATTGGCAGTAAGAAGAGTTATCAGCATATGTTAAGCTTTTTTCCTTAAGAATTGTCCCTCTTGCAAAAAATGAAGAACATACTACAGTAGTGCATTGTACTTCCTCTTGCGGCAACTTTCTCCTAAATTAATAGATTCTTACAAACTTAATCATCTGCCAAAAAAAAAAAAAAAAAAAAAACTTCTCAAAAAATACTCCACTGCAAACATTTTGCCAACAATATGTACAGTCTGACAGAATCCACACACTTCCTAATCAACAAGGCTCAAGAGAGGCCGCTGATTCTCTTCAACCTTCTCCCAGGACCATGGCTATCCATGAGGCAACCCTGCGGATACACGCCCACGGCTATCCACATGCCCCAAGGCTATCCCAGCAACCCCATACACACCACTGCCACTGAGGACCAGAAGTGTCCCCATATTTTAAAACATCACCACGTGACGCCCAGCAGCACTATCTCACTCAGGCACAGAGCTGGACCCCAGTCTACAAGCCCTGTCTTCACATCAGAAAACAACTCACCTCCAAACATGTCTTACTCTTTTTCTTTCTTTTTTAAAAAGGCTAGTTTTCGTCTATCTCAATAGTCTATGTTTTCTAGTCTTCTACTCTACATACTTTTACATCTTTAAGACATACCAGATTGCCACAGGATGTTTAATTAATAGAATAAGAGTTTGGGCAAGACTCACTGGAAAGGTGCTATAAATTATTTTACACAGGCTCCAAAAACCTTGAGTTCTGCCTTAGGCTTAAAGTTCCTAGAAAACGTGGTAGACAGATCTTTTACAACAGAAATGCAAAATAATTCATAAAAGTTCCGTAGTTATGTATGAGGGCTCATTTGTACATCGGTAACTAGTTATATGTATACACTCACTCACTGTGTGCACACACACACTTATATCTTACAAAATTATTTTTGTGTTTCCCTCTGTCACATCAATGACTCCACTTGAAAAGTTAAGGCATGACATTTTTTAACTATTGAAAACACACTAACTTCATTTTGTATGAAATGTATAACAACTGCTTACCAACCAAATGTCACTATCTTCTATAACTGGAGTTCTTTTAGGAAATTTAAGAGAAACTGCCAATGTACCAGTTAACACAGGAAACTAACACTGCTTTCACTTTTAGCATAGGAGGTATCAGGACAGAAAATGTTACATTTAATGCCTGCTGAATTTATCCTATCGTTCTCTCTTGGATATTTCCAGTCAGTAAGAGTTAAAAATACTGAATACATTTAAAAGTTTACAATTTAAAAATTCTACCCTTTAAAAAGTGGGACTTCAACATAAACTATAAATGATATAATCTCATTGTTCAATTTCATGGAGTATAAGACACTATCTTCCTCTCCCCAGAAACGTAAATGTTAATCCAAGCTGTAATCAGATTTAATTTTCCAGATGAGAAGATGGGAATATGCTGCAAACGGGATGAAAGTCCATTCCACTGCCCCTTTCATCAGTGACATTTTCCAACTTCAGACACTAAAAAGGTAGACTCTCAGAAAATAGTCTAAGAAGTGGTACGTTTTGAGGACAAGCTCAGCCTTTCCCAAAACATACTCAGAAATAAACTTTCTTTTCATCTTTGAGGAGAAAGTTTATATATATATATATACACATATAATGCAAAATTTCTTGATAGTATGCCTGCAAACTGGAATGTGTTAAAGATCTTCAAGGACACTCCCTACTAAACCGACTTAACACTGCAAAAA